ATTCAGTAGTTAAACCTTTTTTTTATGTCACCAATCAGATGGGCTAGCATTAGCAACATTAGCTTAACTTTTAATGACACAGCATGCAAACTCCTGCACATTGTAAGTTGCAATGTTGTTGGTCGCGACACATTGTGAGTTAGTTAATTGCAAGTAAGACAGAGTGCTTTACCGTCCTATGAACCTGTTCAAAGATGATTTTATAACTGAAAGTACAAATAAAAGAAAATATGCTACATTGATATGTAAACTACGAGCAGCCTTTTTAGGTGGTTTTAACATAAGTCCCGCCTCTGATAGGGAGAATAGCCAATTACAGTTTAGGATTTTTGGGGTGGCACCTGGGGTGGCCCCCTGCTCACAAGGTTTTAACAAAAGGCGCTGAAGGATAAAAACACCAAATGGAGCACGTCTCGTATATGTCCGTCTCTCTGATGCCTCACAGTGTGGGAGTCTGACACCTTCCTGCAGTTTGAGAGACATGTTCCAGCAACATTTCAAGAGGAGGAAGGAACTACAGTTTCAGTAAATTAGACCTTAAAGGCTTTATATGAGATTTTTCACACTTAAATGTAACACCCGAGTCCCACTGACTGTGATGCTTTCCGAGTTTTCCGAGTCCTATCTTCAGTTTGTTTACATCCCCTCCCATATAGAAGTTGTTTAATTGAGGGACTAGAGAAAAGAAGAATAACATACTGTACTCACTGCTTAACTGTGTTTCTAGATCACGCTCATTTTGGGTAAATGCAACAATGCAGCGCGAGTTGTTTGTTTCATGCTGGTGCTCAAGGGCGACATCTGCATATAAAGCCTTTAAATCTCGTTTCTAAGAAACAAACACAAAGAAGAACAAAGAAGTCATGAAACAGTAGTCGATATGAGCTCTGTTCGTCTCTAACTTTATAAGTATTTCCTAGAAACTTAAAATCTTCAGTTGACAGCCGGAGTTAGTCTTAGACAAAGTTAAGTTGAGTCCCGTGTGAGCTGATACGGGAGATTAAAATTTTGCATTGAAGAGTTTAACAAACTGATACAAGCCTGAGTCAGGGGCAGCCATGAATACAAGTTGACCCTTTAAAGTTTCTCACACAGACTGGAATGTGTTCGCTGCGGATTTCATGTGTTTGATTGGTTTTATCTGCAAAGGACGCAGCGGGGAGATTAAGTGGAACTTAAATTCCCACAACCTGCTGCACCCTTGTGCCAAAATGTCATATTGTCGAGAGAGTGAGACAACACAAGCATTGGAAGTAACACTGGATACTGTGTGTGTTTGCAGCTCTGCAGGGCGGATCTCTTTAGTCGTCCGCAGGTGCGTTGTTAAGAGAATCCTGCAGAGAGTTGTGCATGACATTTTTCAAGTAATAGGTCAGCTGTTGGACTTTGATTGAATTCTTGTTTATTACGCAGGCACTGGCTGTTCTTCCCTGAATCGTGCTCTCTTCTCAGAGAAGAAACATGCACGTCCTAATCTTCTTTCAAAAAGCCTCAGTGGATATTTTTCAGCCGCCCAGGCTCCTCTACCCTCGCACCCGTCAGACCCTCAGTCTGTTACGTTCTCCTCCTCTTCCAAAAGAATTCAATTAATCTAATTAGTAATCAATCAGCCGTCGGGCCTCTCGCCTCCTCTCTGCTAATGGAGGATATGACAGGCCTGGACCTTGCATTATTAATACCTCCATTCCTGGAGCCCAGCCCCCCCCCACCCCCACCCCGCCTGACGCCCACAGCCAGGGGCCATTGATCACCACCACAACCCAGTGAGCACCGCGGGGCCCTCGGGGGAAATATCCAGAGGAGTGGGAGTGGAGATGTGGAGATGGGATTGTCTGTGTGGGATGATTCTGTTCAGGGAGTTTTAGGGTAATTTAAGGAAAAGGCAGACACTTTGCCAAGTTCGCTCGGCGGGAGGCAAAAATCCAGAACGCAAGATGTTATGCTGGCGGTGCATGGGGTCTGCGGGGGAAGCTCTCAGTGTGTTTGAAGGAGATGAGGGATTGTTTGAGTGCTGCTAATAGGAATGTTGTGCTCTGAAAAAAGCTCATTTGGTTAATGGGGCCTCACCTCAAAACTATTATGGCAGGATAAGGGGGCCTCTCTGCGGGACTATTTCCAGAAAATGAGATTAGAAATTATAGGATGCCACTAAGCACCGGGGCACAATGATCGCTGTGTGGCAATGAAACAATCACAGCAACATTACCCCTCGTCTCCCATGCGTTATATGAGCACCCAGTCTAAGAGCTGGAGCAGCTGAAGTTACAGAGCTTAATGAGAATCCCACCAGCTGATCTCAGGCTTCAAAATCCATATATGAAACTACTGTGTGCAGGCGTGAGGAAAACCTATACTGAAGAAAACAACAACGCCTTGGTGGTCATGTTCAACTTCCTATTGAATCATCGAACCCTCATTCACCCGAAGTCTGTGCCAGCAGCTGCTAATGGATGTCAAGGCTACACGTCGTGTTTTAGAAAACGCTGATAAGGATAAGTCAATACCATTTTCTGAAGGATTTAGCCGAGACCACCTCTGAGATTTTCAATTAAGGTTTGATGGTTTGTGATTTGACTTGAGGCTGATTTATATGATCTTAAATGTTGTCCTGTTTGTCACAACATCATAGAGAGCTGTCTCCCCCCCCCGCCCCCTCCTCTAGAGTCGATGCTCACGCAGGTTGTCATGTGGTGGACACTGAAGCTTCAGTGTTTATCCAGCTCTGCATGGTTCTGTAAACCTTTCAGCGTTCTAACCTCTCTCCATTTTTCAAAAGCATCTCCAACATTGATCCTAGTTTGAGCACGTTTCTGCTCGTGGAGCTTATTAGAAACATGCAGAGGCTTTTTAGGTCGGGTACAATCACTTCTATCTGAACCACTTCTCTTGCCCGCTTCCATCGCTGCAACACCTGTTGGCTAACACATCGTACAGAAAACAGAAGCTTTATGTTGAACGGTGAAATAGAATTGCTCTGACACCATTCTGAGGTAAAGCCATAAAAGAAGAGAACGTTTCAGTGTGATAATGATTTTGACCTCGTGTCCTCGCCTGATTGACAGTGGCGGTTTTTGACAAGCGTAGCAGCTGTGGTCGGTCCACAGTGTACCGATGTGTGGGAAGGTGGAAGTATGTGGTCAGAGGTTTGTGTAATGGAGCCTATTAATCTTTAAGTGCAATTTTAGAGTTGACATCACTCACTGTACTCCAGCAGGCCGCTTCCCATGACTAAGACAGGCTGTAACCTTCCCACTAACCAGCCACCCCCCCCCCCCCCCCCCCCACGCCCCGTCTTTACACCACACAGGTTATGTTCTATGAGCCTGCATGCCCAGGCTGTCACCCAGCGCTGTGCTTAATTTACAGAACGCGGGGGTAGTTAAGTATTTACAGGCCCACAGTGGCTCCATGAAGCCACGGTGGGAGTGAGCGATGGCGTTGAGCTCACGGCAGCTGCAGTCCAGCCGCCTCGTTCAGGACGGATCGGGACAGACATGCGGCTCATCTGCTGGGCGAGTGAGTCAGAGAGCTGCACATGCTTTAACCAGGGCAATAGGATGTGAGGAATCACTCTGTGGGCCTCCCCCTCCCACACACCCCCCCCCCCCCCCCCTTCTCATGTGTGTGCCATCAGAGAGTCAGCGTAGGGTTCCATAAAAATCTATTTAACATGTGCATTAGTCACCAGGAGGTGTGTGTGTGTTTCAGGTTCCTGACCTTACTTTAATGGTTTCACAAGAGGTCTATCTGCCATGAGTTGTTGTAGGGATGTCTCCATATTATAAGCTTTTGTACGTTTCTAGTAAAAAAATCAAATAACATCAGGTTGCTGGTTTAGCTCAGTTTAGAGGCTACAAGAAAGAGAATATATGTCTTATGTCTCTCTCTCTCTCTCTCTCTCTCTAATCTAACGATTCACTCAACTCACCATGCCATCCTATTCGCGATTTATTTTCCAAAATGACGAATTATGACATGACTGAAATAGATTCCTTTAATTTCTTCATGAAAACACCAATGCACCTCGTAACCTCTCTGGCTCTTTCACTCATTGTTGGGGCGAGCGTGGCTGCTTACCCGCTTCTCAGTGTGGTTTGGCCTTTTTCATGTTTTTTTTCCCTCTCAACATGGGGAGGTGATTGGAGCTTCTCGTTGTGGTTGTGGATTAAATGCTGCATCATGTTGGTTGTGTTATTTGTGTAGTTTCCTGTCTTCTTGCATTGTCTGCACACAGTTTTTGTCTCGTCTGGTATCGTCTCACCTCTTTCGTTTTCTGACTCGGGGAAGCCAAAATGCTTCCACGCCTCCGATTTAAAAGACGGTGGTGCGTTCCTCAATTTCTTAATCTTGCTCTGCAGCCGCCATGATAACCTGCTGGTGTGTTTGACGAGAAGGCATGACGTTTACCATAAGTGTAGGTTGAACCACATGTGTGCATCTGGTCCGCTGTATGATTGAGGAGCTGAGTATGAAAACTCATACTGTGTGTGTGTGTGTGTGTGTGTGTGGGCTGCAGCTTGGTACATTGAAACTGAATAATGAAGACCTCATGGCTTGTTTGTGTTTGTAGCACACTTTGATTTATTGTTTGTTGACACACTATCATCCTCGATAAAGTCTCATCAAACAATCAAACCAAACATGAGTCATTACAAACCCATATTTTAAAGTATTTCTTCGTATGTTAAGATGGGAGAAAAGCCGTTCAATCATCTTCCTTTTAGCCCCTTATATGGCGGCCATGTTTGAGCCCATAACCCTGCAGCACATCTGGCTTCTCTCACGGCCTCCCTGCTCATGTTGCTGTGATGTTATGACAGGAGAATGACTGGAGAGGATACACTGTGTGCTCGTCGAGACCCTCATCGTGGAGGTTCTGAGGGTCAGTGGCCCCATTTAGGCATAAAGACGAGCCCCCTGTGTCATCACAGTGCAGCTGTTCCTCTCCTGTTGTTGTTGTCAACTCTCATGTTTTTCTCTTTCTTTGTTTGCTCTCACAGGAAGTTTGTTGGAGGCTAAACCTTCTCAGAGGGAGAATCTCAAAGGGGGGGTATTAACCCCTGAAGCAACCCATCACCCCGCCGTACTGAGGTCACTTCCTGAGAGGAGTAGGAGGAGCTAAAGATCAGTGGATTATTGGATCGTTGGACGTGAGAAAACCTGTCTGTAAGTTCACTTTTGATTTCTTTAATGCAACTCGCGTCAGCAAATTATGAGCTTGGGCTTTTTGGTTGTTGTGTTTTGTTGTGAAAAGCAGAAACAGACAGTATGAAACATGGACGTATACTCATTCTTTTCTGCAGAGGCGTTTTGAAGCCAAACGACGGCGGTCGCCATATTGGAAATGCTGACTTAAACTCACTTTCAGTCAAAGAGGTGGGGGAGTTGAGACGGGCTTTTAGCCTCCTGGCATCACCTACAGCGCGCCCACCTGTCAGTCAACCCAGCCACGCCCCTTATTCGACACCACTTCAGATCAATACAGTATCTCATAATACTCTGTGTGATTGTGGTATATAATGAAACTCCCAGAGTGTTTAATTTGTTCACTTCTGGTGCGTTCACACATGCACAAAACTCCTGAAACGTTCCCGAGGTTTTTTTGGGTTGAGCTCCGAATGACATCAGCACCGGGCTTCACTTTTGTTTAACGGCCGGAGACGGAGACATGTTGTCCATATAAACAAACAGCCAAAAGGTTTCACTTTGATGTCTTCGCCCGTCATTTGAGTGTTGCTCACAGTTACTTAACTGAGGCAAGACGTGTTGTGTTTTCCGCTCATGAAAAGATTTCCTCACAGCTCCGGGTCGCTGGCTCACTCTGGGTCAAGTGCTGACTTACCTGCATGCTACCGTCTGCTGGTTAATAGCCTTACCCCTATTACACACCGAACCTGATTGTGTGAGCCGGCGCAGGTCAGGAGGATTCTGAAGTGTTTTCCCCAAAGTGGCAGAGAGACCCTCGATAGCTTTCAATCACAGCTCTGCTCCCCCTCAACACAGGTAGACAAAGAACCAAGCCCACATCCTTCATGCTACAGAAACATATTGTTTCAAATAAGGGCTGGCAGAGGGAGGGAGGGAGGGAGGGGGGGCATGGTCCCCATGAGCTCTTATTTGCAGGGATGTGACAGCACAAATGCTCACGTCGGGTCGTCTCTTTTATTCATTGCCTCCTTTTCAAAGCGTCGCCATTGTTGCTGTGATCCCTCTTTTGGCTGGCCGTGCATATGTTCAACACAAGGGGGCCATTGTGGAGCATTGTGCATCAGTCAAAGTGAATGGAAGGCCACCACTTTGCATCGCTCTCTGCTGACAGCGGGGAAACAATACATGACGCTTTAGGATATAGGAGCGAGGTGTTGAACTGCTTCTCTGGCAGGGGCGGTGGCACGAGGCCCCCCCCCCCCCCCCCCCCTGGTGCGGACAGCCCGCTTTCTGCCTGTCATTATCAATGAAACAAAGACGCATCAGAGGGGGGGGGGGTGAAATGGGACAGGACGGCTGTCAATGCGGGCGCACAGGCGTGAAACATGATCAGACTGCCGAGTTGAATCGAGGTATTATCAAGCCAAAAAATGTGACAGCAAGAGAGAGAGAGAGAGAGGGAGGCAGAAAGTGAGTGAGTGGCATAGCTTTCATATCTTGTCACCCACTCCTTTGACAAAGCGCGCTCTGTGTTAGTTAGCTTAGCTCGATGCATACTTTGGATGCATGAACATTTGTTGATGGCCCACACATTCTTACCAGACACAGAACAGGGACTCTGTGTGTCAGAAACCAAAACAGCTGATCTTGATTAAACTCTCACTTTGGTCTTTGTTTGTGCAACTGAACATTTCAATGTTCTGAATTAAACCCTCAAACCTTCATGACGTGATTCATTGTTAACCAATTAATTACTCCTTAGAAATGTCCATTTGAATGTTGGAACAGCTCCTCTTGTGACGTCAGTTTGTGGAATCTTCTTGTTTTGTTCAGTACGACCAAAGATTAGAAACTTGAATTATGGATAGAAATATTGAAATTCTTGTGTCCGTTTGAAGCAGACACTGACAGTTATGGAGAGTTGAATGAATCTTGTGTTGGTGTTACATCTCCTCTCACTGTTCCTCCTCTATGGAGCTATTATTGTGTACACAGATCCACAAATGCACACACATATCTTCAAATGTGTGTCTGACGATCTGCAAACACATAAGTGGGGTTTGTTGCCCTGAGCCCAGGCTTTACTGAGGAGGCTACGATGGAGGGTCCATTATGTAGTTTGTGTTTTTGAAATTTGTTTCCTGTACAGTGCCGGCAAAGCGGTACGCAGCCTGGCAGCCTGTGAGCCTGTGCTCAGGGCAACAAACCCCACTAATGTGTTTGCAGATCATCAGACACACATTTGAAGATATTATGTACGCATTTGTGGATCTTGCACGGCAGGAGTGTTGCAAAAGTCACGTGTAAAATGACAGCCAATAGAGAGGCCCGCCTCAGTTGTAAGCGATCATTTGTGTGTATTTTCAGGATTTACAGCCGAAAAAGTTCACTGCCATTAATAAATAAGTAGGCTAAATATTTTGAAATTGGTCTACATATTTGCAGATTAGTTTACGCATTTGTGGATCTATTTACGCGTTTGTGTATCTGTGTGTGCATATTCTCCATACTCCTCTAATTCCGGCACCCAGCCCTGCAGGAGCCGCATTCGTCCACAGAGCTGTCAATCACGGCCTTTCAGACCTTCTTACGTCATCAAACAACTAATTGAATCCAAACTTCTGAACTGAACACAAATAAGTGTTGATTATAAATATCATAACTAAACAAGGTTTGATTGCATTTTCTTGATTTTGATAGTTTGACCCATGTGCTATCTGTTAACAAAGAGGAGGCGGGGTTACTGCGGCCGGTCAGCAGGGGGAGCTCTACATTTTCTGGTTATTCTGATCAGGCGAGGTATTCGGCTGTAAGGGAACATAAAACATGAAGACAAAAAAAAGGATGGAAGCCCAAGCTTTTATAGCAGATAAAAAAAGATTGCTATTTAAGACCAATTGTGCACACATTCATCTCATTCAGCTGACTGCAGGAGATTTCTTTTCATCGGGTTCTTCTTTGTAAATTCTGTTACTTATTTTTTCATGTTTTTTTTTTTTTATTCACCTTCAACCTGCTCTACGCCCCACCGCCTCCCTGCAGGCACCGTGTTTAAGCACCTGTTTTTTCCAGCGGCCAAATTAAGGAAACATTCCTCCAAATCTGTGGCACACTGAGACTGCAGCTGTCTCTGCTTGCTCGTGTCTTTAAAAAAAAAAAAAAATGTTTCTGTGGTGTTTCTATCTTTGGATAAAAAAAAAAAAAAAAAGCTCAGACGAGGAAGACGGGAACAGAGAGAGGAGATGTGTGAATAGAATCCAGGGGGGCTGCAGGTGTAACGGTTTGTACCTGAGCCAGCAGAGTCTCCAGGACGCCCTCTGTGTCTGTTTCTTGTCTTTGCCCTCTGATAAACTCCAGTTGACCTCTTCTCTCGCTCTGTCTCTCTGTCTCTCTCTCTGTCTCTCTCTCTCTCTCTCTCTCTCTCTCTTTCTGGCTCTTGTTGTTTCTCCCCACGGGCTGCAGTCTTTGTCAGTGCCCTTATTTTCTCCTTCTCTCCATCTCTCCCTCACGTTCACTCCCTGAGTCGTCTTGCCTTAGCTCAATGTTAAATGAGGGCAAGGCCGCTCTCGGATGTGCTGTGACAAATTGGCACAGAGGAGGCAGATGGCGGGCGGGGAGGAGACTGGTTGTCATGCCATTTGCCACAGCGGCATGAATTGATCACACATGCTCCACTCGTGTGTTACGCACGGAGCGCACACGCACACCCGGGCGAAACCCTGACACACATGATGCCACCCTGCACCAGCCTTCCGTCCCCCATTAGTATCTGTGATGTGTGGGGCGGCGGCGGCGGCGGATCTCGCTGACTGTCAGAGGCTCCGCGCTCGGCACCGCTCTGAGAGACGGAGGGATGCTGAGGGATTTGACAAAGAGACAGAGCTCAGACTAATAGTAGGCTGCTGGGACTCTGTGAGCCTACTATAAAGACGCATAGCATCAGTGACGCCATCAGGATGCGTGTGTGTGAGCAGCCTGGTCTATTTACAGAGCTGCTGTCTTCACAATGTTTACCCATGAGGATTTTGCTCCAGCTTGACTATTCCCCATGGGTGTTTTTTTTTTTTTTTTTTTTTTGTGTTGCTTTCTTTCATTGCAACATGACTTGTGGTGAGATCATACTTTGTGTGACAGGACTGGCACTGCTCGTTAGGCGGACTCCCAGGGATGTGAAAAATATTCCCCCAGTTGGGTTTTTTTCTTTACGGCGGCGTCTGGCAGGGACTTTTTAAAAAATACTCCCATGTTAGCTGAAATCATGCAGGAGGCTGTAACGAGGAGGCTGAGGAAGGGGAAACATCAACATGAGGAGACGCATTTTATACTGAGGGGCGACGAACACAGAGAGCTTTATTAACGTTGGATCTGTTCACCCTTTGGCAGAAAAAGCTCGACATAGCAGGAATTAGTGTTAGTGAAGGTTCATGAGTTTAGCTCCAGATCAGAAGTTGACAAAACAATCTTTATTTGAACTGAATGTCAGGGAGGTAGAATGGATTTTTTTTGTCTCTGCTAATAGAGCTGGAAAAAAATGTGACTTTTCCACCAACATGAGGACATTTTTTAAAATGAACAAATATCATATCAGATTTTACCAATAAAGCAGAAGACAGGGGGCACCGGGGGGGGTAGATGGTCCTCTGGGCAGGCGCCACAGGTTTGGGTCCATCCTGTGGCTGCCTTCCTGCCCGTCGTTCTCCACTCTCTCTCTCTTCCTGATTTCTGACCCTGTCTCTAAAATAAAGTCATGAAAAGCCCAAAATAAAGCTTTATAGACAGCGTAATTTTTTTTTTTTTTTTTTTTTAGCTCAAATGACGATATAATGTCCCCTAATGAACAACCCATATACAAATCATTTCAAAACTATCGCTGAGGTACATAAAATGTCTCCTTAGTAAAAAAACAAACTTTATGGGGCGTGCATGGAACATAACAGCGAGGTCATGCAGCGCTGCACAGAGGCTAAAGTCCTTGTTGCAGCGGATGTGGGTTCAAATCCGACCTCCGGCCCTTTGCT